TGCCATTCTTCGCTCTGTTCTATAATGATGCATAGCGTAGCGTGGCAATTTTATCCGCATATGATTTGTTCTTCCTGAATGCAGCCAGCCAGCTAGCCTGTTCCGGTCGTATTTTGAGTCCAGAGCATCTTTTAGCCACTCCAGGATGATGCGGCTTAGCATTCTGCTTGCAGCATTGGGTGGACATTGATAGGAGCATGATTCTGTGTCAGTTCTTGCAAAGACTTAGGTCACCCATCCTTGGGAATTTGACAAGGTAGTCCTTCTTCCAATCAATCAACAGGAGGCTTTCTTTCCTTGCTTCCAAACCTTCTGCAGTGGTGGTGTGGTGTCAGCATGTCCACTGTTGTCTCTATGTCTGTTTTCAGTGATTCTGGTGGAATTCCATCTCGTCCTGCTGCCTTCCTGGATTTCAGCAAGTTTATGACGTTCAGGACATCACTTCTGCACTTGTTGAAGGACCTGGTTTCGTCTGTGTTGATCTCTTCCCGGATAGTAAGTAACCTGGTTATTTGATATAATGTTGTCAGGTCTCCGTCTCTCCTACCAGCAGTCTGTTCTGCTTCACTTGCCAGTGTGTCATGGAAGTGTCTTCTGTCTTTGCGCACACTCTCCTTCACTTCTTTGTCCAGTCTAGTGTTTTATACACTGTGTTCACTTCCTCTTTTCGTTGTTCATCCCCACACTGCACTGCAATGCATTGGTTCATCTTCTGATTCACCATCACCATCTTCCTCTCCCTCCTCTATCAGCTTCCATGTGTCCGTCAAGGTCCATTACTTCTCTTGTCCTACTTCTTCTTCCTTCCTAATAAGGCATTGCAGATTTCCTTCCACATAGCTTTCAAGGAGTCCCAGTGTTCTTCCATGCAGGTTTCGTCAGGGATGTTGCTTAGTGTCCCCCATTTTGTCCTGATGACTGGCTGACTGACGTGAAGATGTCCTTAGTAGTTTCATCCTTCAGTGGAGTTTCTGTTCTGGGTGAACGTTGAACTTGAACTGTGGTCGTCTATCATCACTAGCTTCTTTGGATTGAAGGCTTTCCACTTGATTGTCATTGTGGGTTCCTTGCACTAGATGGTGAGTCGTGTGAACCTATATATACTCCTCTTCGTGATCTGATCTTGTGTCCAGTAGGCTGGCTGTGTCTCCATCTCCACTTTCTTCACATTGAGATGAAGTTGATCTGGTTTTTAGTGTAGTGTGTTCTGGTGTCTGGTGAAATCGAATCTATGTGGCTTTGTGAATATCCTTGTGTTTGTACACAGTGCCTCCAATCACCAAATCGTTGAATACCCGGTAGTGTGCCTATGATGAGTTCTCTTCCTGTGTTTTCCACTCCCAGTTTGGCATTCATGTTACTCATTAGAATTTCGATGTCACCAACTGGGGTGGGGTCTTCTTCATTACTGATTGGTGTTGTCAAGTGAATTCCTCCTTCTTCTCCAGTTAACAGTTTAGAGAGTCCACTTCCATTCAATCTGCAGATTCCTCTCAGATTCCTAGCACTTCTATGCCATATCTTCTCATTTCTTTTGCCATTTGTTATGCCTTACCAGCCAGCTTCAAACATTGTGCGAACATTCCATGTCCCCATGCTTAATTTTTCTTTCATCGAGAGAAGAGAAGAGACGTCGGCCAGCTGGCTTCCCGAAGGCTTTCACCCACTGGCGTCATTTCGTCTCTGCGATTCCAGCACGAAATAAGTTTATTTTTATTGTTTATATTTTCTTTGTGCTATGAAGTTTTTTTAGCGGTTAGGCTGTTTTTACTGGGTAGGGTCGCTATCCCCATGCCCATCCTTTTCTCTTTATCTGGGCTTAGGACCGGTTAGTAAAGTATTCGTTGTTATATACATAATGACAACCTATTGGAGATAGTAGTTTGCTGTATGTAGCTGCGCTTGATCAGTGGTTGTCCGGACATTATATTTCCTGAACTGGCTGGTTATTACTGACATATATGCTGTATTTTTCGACGCGTAAGTGACTTTCAGTAGTAAGTTTTGATTCTGTTTTTGTAGAGGTATATTGTTGAAGGTAGACTATCCATTTCACCGTACATTGGACTCATTAACAAGCGTAACTTCATAGTGTCTGTACACTAAGTTAATTCACAATCATAATATGACCGAGCGAGTTGTAGAAATCGATAAGGATGATTTTCGGCTGGAACTGCATATTTACCGAATGAAAAGGAAATAACCATAATAAATTACTAGTCCAAAAGATAATACTGTAAACTTTGAAGCTGTGGTTGATGGGTTTAATTTTTAGTGGGAATACCGCTTTACTCGAGGAAGTTAAGCTGATCAGTCCCACATAGAAAGAAAAAAATACCCCGGGTGATTCTATTGACTTGTACCAATTGTGGTCTTTTTGTCACTATTGATCACTACCCACTTTTGGCTTTTATAGCAGTTCTGTCTGATGAAAACTCAATAATTCTAGTCCTTTAAATACATGATTTCCAGGCATATCATATTGTTTTCGGGGTATCAGTCAATTGGCTTTATATCACTCATGCAACTTCAATCAGTCAGATGTTGATCCTTTAGCAGTTGACATTGGCATATCCAGAGATACTTGACAGTAAATTACGAATAACTGAGTAGAAACTAGAAAGAACTCAGTGTCAGCAAGTAACCAGCGAGTTTATGTCTCCGAATTATTGGTATGTTTTTGGCTACCATGTATCAGAAGAAAAGTGTTAGCTTACTAACTACTGTATAAAATGGACTACCGATTTCACTAGAAAGGTTAAAATATTAGTACACAGAACGAAGTTCGATCGGTAAGTCCAGGAAAATAACGCTGACTCTGATATCATAAAGGTGATCACTTTTAAGGCTAATAAATTTATTTTGAATAGTACTTCATCATCTATTGGAAAACAAATGGTGTTAGATGAATTGGTGTGGAATAAACTGTGAGCTAAGTACTGATTTGGTATTAGCTCTTTATCCCTCAATAGTGATAAAGTCAAAGTTATAATTTGGAGTCATTTACTCTTGCTATTAATGATCTATTCCTGTTGCAGAAAACAACCATGGCATAGAAGGATTATCTACGCTTTAAATTGACTGAGGTCAAAAAGACTGTTTACGAGAGTCATGCATGTAAATCAAAAATCCGACAAGGCTGCTTCCTGGATTCCGTTTTGAGAAGGTTTTTAGATACACTGTTTAGTAGTTCGAAAGTATCACGAGACAAGTGCGCTGTATCTTTTAATTCACACAACATATGGAAGTGAGCGTCATGTAGAATTTTTCTGTGCTTCTCTACCGCTCAGTATTATTATCACTATAATACTTTCAGAACACAAAAAATGGTCCAGCAAAGGGACCAAGATATGCGCCAAGCAAACAGTATTATAAAGCGAAGGGAGGTGGGTAAAAATAAAACACAATACGAATAGAATAATTCGAAAGGCAGTCCAATAAGACACATTCAAAACAAAAAATTCATTGCTTTTCAGCAGCAAAAGATAGAAGGGAGCTACAGTATGACCACCACTGGTTTCGTTTCTGATAACGCCTCAAGCCGCTGGGTTACCTGACCTCTCAGACCCCACCCAGGGAGTCGAGATGCATCAGTGGGTGCTAATCCGGGACAATAATGTTTTATCTCGCGGTGACACGTCATGCACTCACCACACCTCCGCTTCTTCCCTCCAGTCCTACTACTGAGTAGAAAATTATTTCGACTAATCAGATTAATTTAATAAGCAAAACCGGTAAATGTTACTTATATATACTTCCCTTTCGTGCCTAAAATGTTCTGTAAGTAGCTAGGCCGTCATAATACTCAAATCGAAAAGCTTAGTAACTTTCTCAGTATTTTTATGATGTCTATTGCTAACAGTTTATTATGTGAACTATAAATTAAAATTATTATTAGCGTTTAAAAAAGCATCCCAGTGTTAATAAAGTTAGTAATAGTGGTTGGTTATTGGTAAGTTGTATGAGGACTTTATCGAAACGGAAATTGAGGCATCTAAATGTCCAAAAGCTGACGGTTTCGCTCTTGAAATCAATAATGGGAAATTTTAGGTAGCCTAATTTCCCGTTGCTACACAGGGTCTAACTGTCTGATCTCTGTTGACAAACGGACTTCTATGCGGACGTCTGAACACTGCTGAATGTTCATGCTGTTGTATTCATCTCGATGACTGGCAGTGGAATCCAGGATGCTTGTTCCGTCTTATTTGGGACTTATCAGCTGGGTGTACCTAAACTCAAGTGGGCGATGTTGTTCCTATTGGGACTCAAACCCAGTACTCCTCGGTTCAGACGCCAAAGCGTTATCGTCTAGGCTACTCAGAAATCTTAGGTTTGTTGGATAAGAAGGGGGAAGCAAGAGATATTAGTCTAACAGATAACATCTTTGTGTTTAAAGTTAAAGATGCTTGTTCCAAACTTCAATGGAATCTGTAATGTACCTGGGTACCAACAGTTCACTTCTGTCCATTATCTGAATTAGAGTTATATTATGGTAAAAAGTTTAGAAGTATTATGCATAAAAAAGAATCATCTTGTTGCGGTCATCTAATTGGACTAAAAGATAGACCTTTTATCAGTATAATAAAAACAGCATATTTTGTATTGACCAACAGAAATTTGATTCAGATCTAAAATATGCTGTTAATGCATTTGAAGTTGAAATAGTTATTTTTCATATTCTTTATAATTCAAGCAATTAAGAAGAAAGAGAGAGAAATTTTCGGGGTGGAAATCCGTGTGAATAGAAGCTTTGTTTCTTATTAAAGAAATCCTTTGAATCTATCTGACCCATTGACACTTAGCGTGTATATCAAGTTTCTGTGTATGAAATTATCTTCTACCCTTCTCTCTTTCTCTCTATGTCTACCTCTCTCTGATATACCCACAGCCAGTAATCACTTATCTCTCTCATTCTTAACTGTCCAATAAAAATTCTATGATAGGGGTGAGGAGTAGTAACAAAGTGAATATCTATAGGTTTTATACGGGAGGTAATATTTATCTTTTAAAATTAACTTTCTGTACACACACACTATCACATTCATCTCTGTCTGTCTATTCATTTTCATCCCTTTTCTATCTACGACCGATAGTTGGTGTTGATTTCTCACGTTAGTCAACTCAGCGATGAAATTCGCGTGATCATCTCTATTAAGATTTACAACATCCCTTGATACACATAAATTCAACAAGGATAATATCATTTTTGATTTGACGCCTCATCTGTTTCACACTAACTGCGTGTTGTGTTGTAATGATGAAGTGTGATACACAAATGAACTGTGTGATAAAAACGGCAATAATAATAATAATAATCCTACCGAGATCAGTTATTTAAACCGGATATTTTTACCATTCAGGTAGAATTTTCAATCTATTTGACAATGGCTACATCCGAGTTAATGGAATCTGCTAAATTAAACGTTCAAGAAATTAATTTTAGTGATAAACTACTACCAGATGAGCAAGCATTAAAACGATTTATTTCTAATTATTTGCCATTTTCTCTAATGAACATAAACAGTCCTAATACATTTCATTCGCAAAGTGACATGTCCACCATAAATTGTGATCATTTGATGATGACGACGACGGCAGCAACAACGATCGTATCATCAACAAGTAGTAATATTGCAATAACATCGACAACTAATACAGAAGCAAAGTTGAAAGGTTCCGTTTTATTAACTAATGATTCATTTCCGTTTACTTCTAAGTCAAATCTTCCAGAATTTAAAAATGTGACACATAATGGAGATGAACTGCAATCACCTTCCACAGATCCTTATACAAATTTATGTAAAAACAATGATAAGAAAACTTTATTAAATTCCTACCCAACATCAGATTGGATGTTAAATCCACAAAAATTATTCTCCACATTAATGATGGCAAGAGTTGGTATGCAAATGGGAACAAATTGTGATGGGTATCGTGTACTGCCGAAACCTTCTGTATTTGGAATTCCAGATAAGTTATCAACAGAAAGTATGCTGAATAATGAATATAACAATGTTTCCAATCACAAAGATATGAAGTCGTTTGTACCACTATCTAGCACACTTCCAGTCAAAGTAAATGTTTCAAATACTGCTAGTATTACAATGAATAACATGAGAATGACGTCACCTACCAAAGTGAACGCTTCAATTAGTGAAACACATCAGTCGCCTTATGCTACAAGCACACCAAATAAACTCATAAAACATAAACAAGATGCAGTTTCTAAACATTCCCCTAAGGAGACTACAGATGAACAAGATAAGCATACTGGCTCTTTACCATTTTCACCTCAAGAAATTATACGAGTTTGTCAGACATTTGAAGAAGCGGGTGATATTGAACACCTTAGCCGATTTTTATGGTCATTACCACTGAATCCCAATTTATGGGAAGTCTTAAATAAAAGTGAAGTGATTTTAAGAGCAAGAGCATTGGCAGCATTTCATACAAGAAATTTTAGAGAATTATACGCAATTTTAGAAAGACATACATTTCCTAAGTCTTCTCATGTCAAATTACAAGCCTTATGGCTCGAAGCGCATTATCAAGAAGCAGAAAACCTCCGTGGCCGTCCACTAGGACCAGTTGACAAGTATAGAGTAAGGAAGAAATTCCCTATGCCTAGAACGATTTGGGATGGGGAGCAAAAAACTCATTGTTTCAAAGAGCGTACAAGAGGTTTACTACGTGAATGGTATCTTCAAGATCCTTATCCAAGTCCGGCAAAAAAACGTGAACTGGCTAATGCAACTGGTTTAACTGCAACACAGGTTGGAAATTGGTTTAAGAATCGACGACAACGTGATCGCGCAGCGGCGGCCAAAAATCAGTAAGTTAAATATCTAACTACCATATCCCATAACATATCTTAGCTTGATGAATTTTTCATTTGTGCATACAAGACTAATCTTGAAATTAAGAGATAGTTTGGATTACTATAGAATTTGAGCCAATGACCTCTGAGGTACTGGCATTATTTAAAATGGTAAGAAATGAATAGGTGACTGGCAGTCTAGTTAGCAATCTCATGATGTTTAACTCAGAAACTTTAAAATTAAGTTTTGATTTGGAGTTGGACCCCTTAAATTAGTCGCTGAAATTTGGTATCTTTAACACTGATGCGCATACATTTAGTCAGTCCATAATTCTGCTCAACTTCAAACGTCACTACACCATAACGTCATTCCAACGAAAAAGACTTCCTAAACGGTTTAGATACATGCCCATTAGTCAAAGCAAAAACTGTTACTAATTTCTTTATTTGCATCAATTTTCATTGATTGTTTCCTATGTCATCTACTGATTCTGATTGAAGTTGAAGAAGGCCCATTTCATGATTGAGTTTTAGTCAACTAACTTCAGGCTATGTTATACTGATGTTGATGACTAGCAGAGGAATCCAGGATGCGCGTTCCGTCCTATTTAAGACTCACCAGCCGGACGTACCTGCACCCGAGTGAGTGCTGTTGTTCCCACAGAGGCTAGAACCCAGTACCCTTCGCTTCAAAGGCTACAGCATTATCCACTAAGCCACTGGGGTACAAGAGCCACTTCCTGTACAATGAGTATCATTACAATAACTTCGGGTTACTTACTAATAAGATTTTATATATTGGGCGATAGAACGTCAGCTTAGTAGTTTAAAGCACTAATGTCGATCAACCATCGATTTGTTTATTTTTCTGATAGACTGATCATCTTATTTTGCCTCATTTTTTCCCCACAATATTTGTGTAAACGAGTTATGCTACGTTTTGGACTCTAGACCTATTCAATTTGTAATACAATCGTTTTCTTGAATTTTGAGGGAGTTGTGGGGATTTGGAAATATTTCAAGTTGTTATTCATTCAAAATTCAATTGAACTGGTGCTCTTTGGTGACTAGCTTCGAGAGGTATTCTCGAAGTTCCAATGAGAAGTCGTGACCGGTGGGGGCAAAGCCTGATGGTCGGGAGGACAGTTACTCAACGACGACATTAGGTGGCGGTTGCGTTATATCGTGAGCTAACAGAAGTTGGAAATATGGAGCATTGAATTCTGAGTGTCCAGTGTCCAGTGGTAACGTGCTGGCCACGGAACCTGAAGGTCGCGGGTTCAATCCCTGGTGGTGCGCACTGCTGAGGTGTCCTACACTAGGACGGAGCAGCTGTCCAGTGCTCCCAGGTTTCCTTTATCCCTCCAACTGATATCAGTGTATGATGAATAACAACTTGAAACAATCGTTTTCATTTATACAGGAGATATATTTCTAAAATCCCAAGGAGGCAGAAAAATACATTTCTGAGGTTTTACGTCGTCGTGGAAACCACTTTTTCATCGGAATTTCACAAATATATCTCCTTTATAATGCATTTACCCAATGTTCAACTTTTTCAATCCTGTCAGATTAAATTTTGATCCTGAAGTTTATAACGTCGTTCTCATTTAGTTTATTCAGTTTCATTTAGTGCAATTACTTAATCTGCAGGATTATTAAGCATTTTTGAAAGTAACCATATAAACACTTATGGTAACAAACTAGCTGCCCATTTAAATTACTTTCATATGTGTAATACCTCATACGCCAGTATCGCGTATTACCATACTTGGCTGTTGGCCAAGTAGTCCATTTTGAAATTCATCAGCCTACTCAGCGAATTGTTTCATACTGATATCTCACTTAGCAGTTCCTAACAAGTGCCTGTTTAAAACGTCAAAAAAATTTTTTGACTTCTGAAACCCATTCAGCAATCCAGTATGTACACTGATGTCGAGAAGTTGCCGATAATTCTCAGTTCGATGTAATTTGATTGACAATGGAAATATATTGGAAATGGAATTTGTGGTAAAGCAGGCATTAAAGCTATTCAGTGAATAATATAGACTCATTTTAGGTAGGATCTATGGATAATTATTGCTCCAGAGTTCTTTGATACGGTGTAACAATTTTTCCAGCAATGTAGACTGCTTAGTTGAGACGAAGGGAATCACTGGTTGAGGACTGACTCTTGGTGACATGGTTGAAAATTGATCACAGTGGCGCAGATGTATTCATTCACTGACATCTAAAGCTTGAATATTCTCACTAACCTTACTCTTCAGACTGGTTATTCTCTCACACAACTTCGTCTACTTTGATATCACTCTTTTTTAATCCACTTGTTCTTTGTGTACTATTGTGAAGTGTGGCAATCTGAGCCAATGCACCTGTGTGAGAGGTCGCAAGTTGATTTGTTAGTCAGTAAGTGTCAGCATAGATTGAAAACCATCTACGTTCAATCTTCTTAACATACACACTTGTGGCATGTTTATAAGCATTTTATATCATTAACTGGTAATAGTTGGGTAAATTATTTCTAGTTTAACCATGGATTTCTTTTAAATAAGCGATGAAATCCAAGAAAGTAAGTAGTAGTTCTATCTTATCCTGGAACATCTCTTTAGCATTCCACTCAATTAATTAATTAATTGACAGAATAATTGCTCATCATTAATTGACAACAACACAGTCAAATCGTGATCAGTTAATCGCCGTCGCCTTCGAATTCATTTCCATCGACAAAATATTCTCAGGCAAAAACTGGGGCGAAATGTATACCCAGTTGTTGAAAACGACTACAAAATTAAACTTCATACATATGACTTGATTTGGGATAGTCACCTTATTTAAGAGAATGAACAATCGACTCAATCCCCTACTCCTGAGTGTAAAGATACACCGACGATTTTCAATAGTGAATATCTGTAGTGCATTTATGACTAAACCTTAAGAATGTGTTGAAGGTAATTTATGCCAAATATCAATAGATACTCGTGTGGTTCTGTTCCTGAGTAAACACGCGTGAATTCACTTATTGCTATTTCAGTTAATAATAAACTTATTGAGAAGCTGAAACTATATATAGTATAGATAAAATTGAGCGTTATAACTAAAAGAATTAAAACCCCTACACTGTCAGCTGATAAGATTTAGCATAGTTACTGAGTAGCACACAGATTGCGACCAATGAAACCGAGACCTACTATGAGTTTAATGTTTAAAGTTATGCTTTTTTCTAGCTAAGGCAGTATGTCGTAATAACAGTCAGCATACAAGTGGTATCAGTAGTTAATTTGGGGGTCACTAATAAACATAAAGGTATTTACATCTAAAACGCCTTGTAAGTACCTTAAAATTTCTAAAAGTATTCCATGGAATGCTACCTGATGTTATTGAAAGTGGAATGGATCACCTGAAGGACTAACTAAACATCAAATCGCATTCTTGTGTCTTGGTTTCTCTGCCTAAAGCTGTATACCCTAAATAGCTTAACGACTAATGATTATTATGTCAGTGTCAACTTTAATTTCTGTTTCATTTGTGACCAAGGTTTGCGTATATATATAAAGGTTGACTTATCAGTTGACTCTAACCTTAATTGGATAGTAACCAATAGTAAACTTAAAGCATCACACCTCAGGCTAAAATAATAAAATGGGACTATATATAACACGTAAAAATGATAGTCAATTTGACATGTTGCAACGATCAAAAGGTTCTTTTTCCTTCAATCCAAATCACGTACTCTCTGTAGACTGTGATAGCTATACGGATATGTATGACATTATGTGACGTGGTAGGTGAATAAAATCAACTCGGAGCAACAATATCTTTAAAGGAGAAAATAAAACATATTTAGGGGAGAAAATTACACCTACGCATAAGGTTGACACAACCTCTCATTAGCTACGCCATGTGTTTTGAGATTAGATACTACAGTAATCCTGGAGACTGTCTCCTATTTATCAACAGTGTATCATTTCAAATGGAGATTCATGGAAATGAAGCGATTATAAGGTAGTTACGATCACGGATTAACATCAGCTGTCAATGATAAATGATGTGTGAGTGCTTTTTAATAAGACTTCGATAAAATGACCGTATGAACAGTATAAGTTTAGGAGAAGAGTTTGTTAATATTAAACATGGTTAATTTCAGTTGGGAAACAATGCAACAGCATTTCCATCTATTCTTTAAGTGTTGCATTGTCTAGATATATTTGTCTACGAAATACAGAACCCTAACTTTTCTATTCGTAACAGATTTCGCATACAAGATGCTGAAAATTTGATCTTCTAATTAACTACTCAAGTACGAGGATTAATGTATCAAATTCAAAGAAACTTTCAGTGAATAGTTAAGTAGTGCCCTAATGATCCTGAGGTGTCATACATCCTTAGATATTCAGTGGTATTTAATACAGAAATGGTATTCTGCATCAATTTTTTATGATGCTAAATACCGAAAGAACTTTTATCATGGTGTTATATTTATTGGTATTTGTGGTAGTACTGTTGATAAGCATGTATATTATTTTCATTCCTTGAGGCCATCTCTCATTCCTCTGGTCTAGGATTTCCATTACACATTATCAAATAGATCTGTATAGAGAAGGACGTCTGTCTACTCCCCATGAAATTTATTATATACCAACTGAAGTAGTGATTATATTATACCGAACCGAACCTGTGGTTTACTTGGCATTTTTACTGATTCGCTTGGGAGTGGGCAGATTCGTGAGTAGTATTTTCAACTGGCTTCTGAAATTGGCACATATTTAGGTTCCTTTAATTTATAAAAATGAAAAAAAGACAAGTTAAGACATTTTTTTAAAGGTCACGTCAGCTGTCAAAGCTGTCCAATCATGCTTATCAGTATCGGAAGCAAGTAACAGTATATTATTAATCAACAGGGTAGCATGATTACTATAATGTTCAAGTTTAAGGTAAATTGTCCCTCGTAAAGGCAGATAAATAAGCAAAATAATGCATTATTATTAGGACTATGATAAAAGGAGAGATTGTTCATACTTAAGTACCTAGAGTTTAGGCTCAAATCTGTAGACTGTTAGGGCTTTTGCCCTGCACAAGTTACGGAACTGTACTCGTTTTAACCGTTTGATCTAACTCCATAGATAACTGTGAGATCGGTTTTTGGTGAAGCTACACAACCTGAATTGGCTAAGTGCTTAAGTATTGGACTGTTCATGGCTTTACGCTGGTCTTTTGACAGCCATGTGGGATAGTGTTTAGAGATATATATGAAGAGTATTTGCTCTGTTCTGCCTATACAATTAACTCCATAGGAGCAATTAAACATGGTCTGCTAATAGTTTAGGACTAATCCTTCGATCTAACATTTTCCTGATAAGCTCATCTTAAAGTTTTGAGGTTTACTTGAATAGATATGTGATGATGCAGTTTCGTCATGAAGTGGCACCAGCTGGAAAACCATTAAAAGCCTAAGAACACTGGGAGGCTGTTCCGTCTTAGTACGACACTTAGCAATGCCCACCCACGACCCTGTCAGGAATCGGACCCGAAACCTTCACTTACAGAGGTCATCACGTTGCCACTGAGCCAATGAGTCGGAATCCACTCGCTCACTTTCTTACTTTTGTCAGTTTTCCATGTCACGCGATCTCCATCCAATCCCGTCGTTTAGTACGTGTCCTTACTTCCGATTTGGCCCACCCACCGGTCACGACTTCTAATCAGAACTTTCGGAATCTCATCTTGAAGCAAGTCACGGATGAGTAGTGGACATTAATTCAGTTTGGAGGTTTGTGGGGATTATATTAGTACACAGATGGTATTCATCACCGGCTGCCATCAGCCAGTAACGTGCAGAAGGTCCTGTGTTAGGTTTCCAATGAGTCATGGGTGCGCACTGCTGAGAAGCCCCATACTAGGGCGAGACAGCTATCAAATGCTCCAGTTTTTCGGAGGTTTTCTAAATGATATCAATCTATGATGAATACCAACTTGAAATCAATGAAATCTCCATAATTCTTCAGATCGAAATACTTTTTACTTCAATAAATTGGTGTTCATGAGTATTTCTGACAAAAAATACCATTTCAAATGAACCACTTAATACATTTTTAAGTCTGAAGAATGGAATGTCAAATGTTAAGTAATTAATAAAACTTTTGGAGACAACTGACATTAAAAGACAATATTTTCTGTACAGTAAACAGTATATTGAAGTATACAGCTTTTCTTTAAACGAGAAAAGTTATGCTCTCTATTAGAGAAACTGGAACATACATTATACAACACTGCGGTGGAAGGTGTTATCATGGCAGATGTTTGAAGCTAAAACTTCCGATTATTCTAACCGATATTTACTGACAAACGTGTAGCCTAGGTTGAAGGCTTCCTACTATTGATCTTCAACCAAATAACAATTTGACACCATTTACCTATTGCGTATTCACAAAAATAAGAATTTTACGACAGTCTTTAAACAGATTAAAAATGAGTTAGGAACTACAGAATTTGAGAAGTTTTGTTTCACTCACTGATTGTCGAATGACCATAAAATGTACAAACTTCCTACTACTACTACTACTACTACTACTACTACTACTACTACTACTACTACTACTACTACTACTACTACTACTACTACTACTACTACTACTACTACTACTACTACTACTACTACTACTACTACTACTACTACTACTACTGCTACTACTACTACTACTACTACTACTACTACTACTACTACTACTACTACTACTACTTAGAGCTCCAAATTTCTAAATACTTAGTATGATAATTGATTTTTGATTAATAGTTGAAATGCCTGTCTGAAATTAAAGAATAAAAGACAAAGGACTGCTAGCCACTATCCAACGTTACCATAAAAATTGGAACAACAGGCAATACTGAGACCTTCGCACAGGAGCCTACATGCCAATACAGACCGACCAATTTGGTTCAGTCAACGATGGGATATTGCAAGTAACAACATTAAAACTATACCCATCACACAAGAGGTAGTCTTCGTGACCTAATGGATAGCGTTCTGGCGTTTGAAGCAATCGGTATCGGCTTCGAGTCTTAGTGGGAACAACATCGCCCACTAGAAGGCATGTACGTCAGACTGGCGAGTCTCAGATAGGATGGAACGTGCTTCCTGCATTCTTCTACTAGCCTCTGTTGATCACTATAAAGAACAGAGTTATTGTTTTTGTTACCGTTGGACTGATTTACTAATATCACACAGCCAACATTTGTAAATTGATCCCAATGTGACGAAGGCATTGACAACAAGCTGATAGAGACATAGATGACAGCTACAAAGTTTGAGTTCAGATTATAACTTAAAAATAAAAATACTATGTGAATTTAACCATCATTTATTTTTGTTTCTACTGTTTACAGGCAGTTGGAGAATTCTGATAGTGATGCAGAACCCGACAATGAAATAAGTTCAGATGATACTGATCGTAAAGATAACGAGGATGAAAGAACACAAAGAAGGCGAAGGCATAATTCACACTCAGATTCTTCAAGATTTCAATCTAATTTCAATGTTGATAGATTCTGTATGCCAATAACCGACAATAAGATGACGAAAGATAAATCCGAAAATTATGAAAGAGATGAATATGACAGTGGAATAAAATGCAACAAAATTCACCATAATTCATCACCACATGAGGCTGAAAGTGATGTTTGGTCACCAGGATCAGAAAATGATAGTTTTTTGAATATCAGAAAGGATCAACCTTGCGAAGCAAATAATGAATACGATAATCAGTCGCATTTCCATGCAAGACTGCATGAAACTTACATGAATCCTAAAAGACACTGCTTACATCCCGGTTTAACTGGATTGAACAGCACAATAAATCAGCTATCAAATTTTATGCCGAAATTATCCAGTGATAAGGTTAATGAAACTAAAGTTAATTCACCGCCAAGAAATAAAATGTTCAATTTACCATTTGATATATTTGGTTTGGGCCAAAATATGAAACAAAAATTTCCTACTGTAGTGTCACAGCAATCAGAATTCCCATCTAATTTTGTAACTCATGAACTGAAACCTTCAGACGCTGTAAATTATAATGCAGATATACCAGTCCCACGATTTCAGAATACTACTACTCTATTGAATCAATCCCAGTATCCGACTCCCACCAATCATGATAATATGAATATTAGTAGTGGTTTGAAAGACTGTAATCCAAACTTTATAAATGTCACTTCTACAAAGGTAAATACCAACGATGAAATATTTAATGGCATGATAAAGCAGTCTAGTTTGATGGATCACAGCAAAATTCTTCGTAACATGTATACTCCTGAGAGTTTATTTCCGCCAATATTTCCACCATTTCCTCCATTATTATCAAATTATATAAAACCATCTGAATTACCTCCATTATTCAGACCAGTGAGAACTGATACATTGTTAAATACACCACTGTGTGTTCCACCGTTACTTACACATTCAAATGTGTCATCAAATAAACCACTTGATTTTAAACAGCAGTACTCTGATACGGATATAATTAATCATTCAAATCAGCGAATAACTGAAGACAGTGTACTCCCAGAGAATTTGTCTTCCCAATCTATGAATAGTCATAATATCATTAGTAGTAATAGCGGCTATAGTGTGAATAGTAATTCACTGTCAACTCCACCACTTTCAACATCATCTTCACCGTCAGTTTTCATTTGGCAAAAAATGTTTGAATGGTATTCAACTCAAATGCAACACCAACAACAGAAACAGTGGTACCAACAGCTGCAGCAAGAAGAAAGTCTACAAAAAGATTTAATGCAACACTTACCTCACATTAAGAATGAAACCTATCACAAGCTATCCAATTGTTCAATTGCCCACATACACAGTATGATCAGTCAACTCAGCGAACAAAGTATAAACACGAAGAAGCATGATGATGACGACATCGAAAGCGATACGAAGCTAATTCAGTCAAACAGTAATAAAAAGTTGTCTGCAGAAAGGGAAGAGATGTTAGATCATTCAATGGATCTCAAGACATGTTTGAAACATGGGGAAACAACAAACGAAAAAGTAGATGCGAAGAAATCTGTAAACAGTCCACAAATTAGCATATGTGAAGACAAAGTGGAAGAGAATCCTTGTAGTATTTCCAATTCTGGTTATTGTGCACGTTCAACAGAACAACTTCAGATGTCTTGCAGTAGTTCTGATGAATCATCATTAGAAGTTTAAACCCTAAATATTAAGAATACACGAACGTTTAGATCACAAATTAAATTGTCAGCTGTTGATTAAACTTCAGTTTAAGAAAATGCTGATACTTTCAGAGAGTTCGGGATACATTTTCTCATTTCCAACACACTTTCAACCATACACTATAAATAGTAACACTGATGGTTATGATTGTAACTAATCATGTTTAAATCAGCGCCTTCAACATTCCTAATCCATCTTTTTATTGTAGTTAATATTCAGTTCATTTAAATAGCACCCAGAATTGTTTTGAACTTGTACACTTTTCTTGCTTCCTCAACAGTTGTTGTGGTTATCACCGATTTCTCTTTTGTATGTTTTTAAAATATGGTACACAAGAGGTGATGTGAAAAACAGTTTCCCTAAGTGCATAGGAATGAGCAGAATAAATGGAAATGAACGCTAGATTCAAATATCAACGTTTGCATTTATGCGTTTAGGTATTTTGTTTGTATATACCAAATATTTTCAGCATTTAAGATAAATATATGTGGTTTTATTTCAAACTATTATTTTATTACTCTGTTACAGTTTTTGTATAAGAGTGAAACTCGATGACTTACAGCCGACAGTATTGTTGAATTGTAACAAAATTAGAAATGCGAATGGATTAGATGAGAACAAATAGTCAGTGTAAGAAATCTCAGTAAGACTTTTTAATTCAACAGATCACTAAGGTACGTATGTCTTAAACATTAGATTTAATGAAGTGAATTTCACACTTCAATAAAAGTACCAATTTGATTTTTTCAACTTGGGTTGTCCGACTTGTGGATTCTATTACTAGTCACAGTCGGAAAAATAAGACCGGAACAAAGCTCACAACATAATTATATAATCTGAAAAAGGCGTCTATCTACCAGCAGAGTCAGGTCATCTGAATCCAATGACGTTGGAAAACAATAACAAAATTAAAGATTTACATACTAAATATACGCGGATAGATAGCAAAATCGATAAAATTCAACTGGATGACATTAACATCGTAAAATAAATTTTTTGTCATTCTTATGTAATTTTACATTTACATATACCTCCGAGTGTTCAGCTTTTTTGAACAGTCACCTTGATAAATTTGGGGACTTTATGGGGATTTAGAGATTTTTCAAGTTGGTATTCATCGTGAACTGACATCAGTTGGAGGAACATTGAAAACCTGGGAGCAATGGACAGCTAATGTCCGTCCACCATGAATACCAACTTGGAGAATCATTAAATCCCCAAGTCAAAATGAACTAGTGTTCCTGGGTGACTAGCTTCGAGAGGCGATTCCCGAAGTTCCAACCAGAAGTCATGACCAGTGGGGCAAACCTGGTGGCCGTGAGGACAAATACTCAGTGTTAACATTGGGTGGCTGTCACACTATGCCATGAACTGACAGAATTTGGAAATATGAACCATTAGATTCTGACCCGGTGGCTTGGTGGTAACGTGCTGGCCACGAAACCTGAAGGTCACGGGTTCGATCGCTGATGGGGTCGTGGCTGCGTACTGCTGAGGAGTCCCATATTAGGACGAGACAACTGTCAAGTGCTTCCAGGCTTCCAATGTTTCTTCGACTGATTTCAGTTCACGATGAATGTCAACTTGAAAAAAGGTCAGCTTGTTCCCCGTGAGCATAAAATTGACAAATAAAATGACAAGTAACTGAAAAACAAATAGATACAGTTTTCGGCTAAGTAGCGCTTCTTCTGAGTTGTATAATACTACATTTATAAGGAATATACTCCGATGTTTCGTGAAAAGATTCAGTGAACACTTTGTAATGGGCCGACGCTTAAGATGCTTTCGTTTAGCCTAATCAAAAAATTCCACTAACAAACATCAAAGTTTACAGAATGCCACACAGTTGCACCATCAATCTGCATTTCGAATCCTCTTCAGTGTTCTTTGAATTTCGCTGTACCAAAATAATTGAATTCAATTAAATCATTGAAGCATTTATTACTATGTTTATGTGTGAAATTGGGCATAAGTGATTAACAACTTAAATGTGAAGGTTAGAACTCACATTAAAAGTTTATAGAAATATTTTTGTTGACATATGTTGGTGTTCGTAGTATGGAGAGCAGATTACATGTTCATCTAGTGAGAGTAGTAAAGCTTAAAAATAAAGACAATTTGATGATGTAAAAGAACTTCGAGAGAAGAATAAACAAATATTAATGAAGGAGGTAGAGCATGAGAATATACGCAGATTACTCCAACCACATGTGGTGATTAATAATACGTACAACAGATTGAGTAAAGCGAAACGAGCAATTAAGGTATTATACAAAGAGGTAGAAAAGCAGTAGGAGGAGAATGTTTATAATATAAATAACTGGGTTTAATCTTGTACATGTGCCTCATATGATTATTGACACTGGTATATACAGGATAGTTGATTTTTAAAAATTTCGATGCTCCCAGCTGAGATAAAAGAATGATAGCGTTTGACTTAGTCTAACATTAGTTTTCATTTCGATATGGGAATACTAAATATTGAACTTTACTATCATCATTATAGAGGAGTTTTAAAGGATGCCAAAAAAATAACCATAATTGCTTATTAGTTTTTGTGTTTACACAACAATATGAGGTCAGTATGCTGACCGTAACCAGTGGAACAAATGATGCTATTAATTAGGATTTGTGATCACTATCGAACACTCAAAGCAATGACGCTCGCATCATTTCTGCCGACTGAGGAATGGATCTTTGGAAGTAGTCACTGACTGACTTCTGAACCTGGTCAACTGTCTGCTAACTACTCAGGCAGTAAGAAAAGAAATACCTGGATGCCACCTTCTGACCAGGGTGGGAGGGTGGTTGATAATAATAGCCTGATGAGTGTGAGATACGGTCGGGCCTAGCGAAATAACTTAGGTTAAGCACAGGATGGCGACTCCTTTAAGGGGGTAGGGGTAGGTACCCATCAATTCGGGGCTTTCTCAATTAATAAGCCTATTTTGTACGTCGTTTTCATGCATGTCCACTTAATCAAAAGGCAGCTTAATAGTCGGTAACGTTTAGCTGACCTGGTAAATCAAGAGAGGTCTAGGAAAACAAAATAACCAGAAAACTAAGTGAAACGGTTAATTAGAACTTGCGTATGGCAGCTTGAAGAAAAGAATTGTGACCAAGAAAAATCATAGGTTCACATCCTTGCTGAATTTCAGGAAACTAGCAAGTTATTACAAGACTTCTCAAAACACTTCGTATTTACTGATGGGCTGAGGGTTCGTGACCTTCATAGAGATGACTAATACAGGTTCAATATCGAACTAAATAGTTGTATGCTTAAATCACCTTACTAGAGATCAGCATGATCACCTTGAAAATAAGGTGTATTACATCTCTCGATAAATGATATTGAAAATGCCATCTACATGAGAGAAACAGCGATTTTAAAACTAAGATTCCTGTTTTTGTGGGTTTGTATTCCTAGAGAACGTGTAAATAAGACAAAGAAAAAGTCTGCTATTCCTTCTTCTTCAACAGGTGTTTTCAGTGATATGCACTTTCAATAAAGACTTGCGTAATTTAGTTTCAGAACTTAATATTACAGTCATCCATTTACATCTTCCCTCTCTACATGCTTATGAGTCACAAATAAATCTATTAATATTATTTTATACCGACTTTATAAGTTTATTTATTCAATACGTTGTTGCCACAAACACTCTATATGGACAAATGACCACTTACTACACAACCAGTCAATATGGTATCTGATTTTACAGATTCGTATCTATTCTAATTTCTATTTGATTGTTTATCCATATTTCCAGACTGATTCAGACAGATTCGACTTAGGACCTAAAAAAAGCTAAAGCTTTACAATGCTATTTTCTGTGTAATAATCACTCAAAAGTTTACGAAGTTGGTGTAAATCTTCGAAAAATTGCCACGTAGTAGAGAGGTTCACATGAGAATTTTCTTCGGGTGTAAAAACCGTCAAGCCACTGAGTTGAACTGTTGTCCAACCTAAACTTGTCTGATTGCAGTCCGATGGTAAGATCAGAAAACCAGGTATGTTGTACTTAATAAAAAGGAAGTTTGAAAACTTAACAATGAATGAATAAATAAGGAAAAAAATATCTTCTAGGTGGGAGTACTTGCTACTTGAACACACGAAAAGCTGATAGAAGATGAACTGTACTTTATAAAGACTTACAGAACCAAATGAAAAGAAAGGAGGTTATGAGGACAAAATTACTGTGACAGACAATATGCTGAAAGGTGATGCTAAAACTAGAGATCGCAATTTCGAACAGATAAGTGGTACTAAATTAGAAGCAGACTAGTATAAGATGTATATATGGGACTTGGTTATTCACTTTTTCATATTGGACTAAGTCGTTTCCTATTTACACTAAATCTAAAGTTAGTAATTTCAATTATTATCAGAATAACACTACCTGATTAGGCATATTTTGCTACCCTTATAATTGTATCAGTTGATATAAAGACTTGGTCGGTGCATGGAAAAAATATCTGATCTCCTAGGGATCCCTTAAATTCTTGTTAAGGTACCGAGTAAAATCTGCATACACTACAGACTGGAGATAAAAGTTAATCAGCTTTGTTAGGATTTTTAGGATCATTTTTAAAAAGTGATTTTATAGGCAACGCAACTTCATTGTATTGGTGATCTTTGTGATCATGAAAGGTTTTTGAAAGTATGAAGATTTTTTGCTTCCTGTCAAAGTTAATACTAGCTTCCTCCACTTCTCGCTAAGGCTTTCTCAGATCTTCGGATGATTTCTACGCGATCTTCACCTTACTCTTGGATAAAACTTCAAGATACGCATCATACCATTTTCGAAAATGCTGCTTCAGTCACCAACACTAGTAGTTAGTAGGGAAGTGAAGTATTTTCGGCTTTAATAAAAATTAATAAGTACTATCTAATGTAGCATAGCAACTAATAAAACATTTAACATGCTTCATTATGCAAGAATCCATTGCTATATGTTACCTGCGCTGATTATCCTACTCGTAGTACTGACAGTCCTGAGTAAACTGCAGACTGTTGCATAAATCCTGAAGACTATGCCTACGTTAATACAGCTAGCAGTATCTTCAGAAGTAAGTTTTAAAACCAGCAGAATTCCATAGAGTGTATTCGATACTGGACATGTGTGTGGAATCTACAAACAGAATTTTACATACGTTTACTGTAAAGGAAATCATTTTCCTTAACGAATATGATTTTTTGTGTGACAGTCTTCAGGTTGAAGATAGGGTAAAATTCGACTGTTATTGGAATGCATAAAAGTGCAATCTTACACTTATTGGCTGCCTAATACATTCCCTATTATTTGCGGTAGGCTATTTTGTTCAGATGATATTTTTGCTTAAAGTGAGTGATCATTTCAGTCAAGATTAATTTTCTTTATTTTAAGCCTTAAGTCTCGATATCATTATCTAATTAATACACAGTGAACAGTCCAGCAGTTTAGTCTTCGAATTTTGTTCAGATGGGCTGTTGAAAAGAGATTTCAAAATTGAGATGGCT